CTAGAATTCTCCTTCAGTCAGCGACGGTACTCGATCTATCCGTGTAATCGTAGTTAGTGTGGAAAATCATGCCACCATCAGGACTCCCGGTATTCCCGGCACCATTCAGTTGAGGCAATATTTACGGAACACTCTTTGTCACGATTGAGCACAAGAGTTTGGCAATGAGAGTAATAAGGAACTTCGGTTTTAGGAAAAGAAGACAACTGTACGAAACTAATTGTAAAAATTAAATTATAAAAATAACTATAACTAAAAAGGTTTTTAAAGTCGCATGATACCCAATAAAGTAATTATAAACTACTTAAATTAAAATTAAGGAAAGTCAAGAAGACTCCCAAAATCGGTGTATGACACATGTGGTAAAAGCGATTTTATTTTGCTCGTAGGATTGCGTAGTTATGTAACGTATTGCTAAGTTAGTACTTTACGTAACTATAAAATTCACTTCAACTTATAAAAAAGAACTGGAAACAAAAATAGTGGAAGATGCTTTTAGTCGTTCGATTCGTCAAAAACTTATCGTGGCAAAGTTTTTGTTAAATAAAGTAGGTGTCCTCTAGTATTGAAGTCGGTTGTCTCAACACGTTTTAGGTAGAGAATCGTTAGAGTTCAAAAAACAATGCTAACAAATTTGGTTAGAGTTCAATGAACAAGTCAACTGCCCCTGTGACGTTTCAAGGAGAATGAGAACGGAGTCAGGGGGCGTTGCCCATGGTCGTAGAAGCTCCGGGCTTCCCAGGCGAGCAAGTGTCTTTTGACACGCTTAGAAACGCTATTTACCTAATATTTTCTTGCTTAGAACACTCTAGATATGTTTAAACAATTGCGACTTTCTCCGTTGAAGCAAATTACCTGCCTGATAACTTAGCCACTGCTAATAACTCAACCTCCGAACCTGAAGAATAAGCGTATTGCAAGCCGAATTGAAGCATATGTGCATAACCATATATGATAATTAGTCAGTGAATCGAGTTGAATGATTTCGAAAAGTCGTAAATAATTTTGAATACTTTTTCACTTTCGGAATTTGTGGTTGAAGCATAAACTCTATTTGTGAGGCTCGTAAACTTCTAGTAATATATATCAATGTAACCAGATGATGAATCTTGAAAAACCATAACTGCCGTCGCGACAAGTCGGAGAAGTGGGACAGTAGGCCCCCTGTGGACACGGTGACTTTACGTGCCCCCCTAATTTACGGTACGGGGAGCAGGATGACCCCCCCGCCCTGCTCCCGCGATGTCATGCTGCGATTGGGTTACCAACTTCTTCCACTAAAAGAGGTAGCTCCACCGCGTATACGTGTTCTAGTGTCACGTAACAGCAAAAGCTGACAAAATAACCACATTAAAAAAGTTATTTATAGTAGAGTGGATAAACTGACATTTTATTTTGAGAGTATAAAATGTTGCGACATGAGGGTGATAAGCCGAGGTGCGCAATCCCATGAGCGAAATAAAATCAGTTTTACCACGTATCATGGGAGTCTCATTGAATTTCCTTAATTTTTTATTTAAATAGTTTATAAATCACTTAATTGGGTATCATACTACATTAAGATCATTTGTAGCTGATCAGAGGAAATTATTTTGTTTTCTTTGCGGCAGTCACAGTTTTATCTGAACATGTGAGCATCGTCTCCCATTTAGCACTAGAGCTAAAAGTTTAACTTTAAACACCCTGTTCATGAACTTTAAACACCCTGTTCATTTTACTAGATGCTGTCTTTGCAATATGTCTTCAGTCGTGATTGAGTCAGAGGTTTATCAGTTCCAAGTGCACCATTAACGTCCTAACTAGTAGTCACCTATGTCAGTCGAGAGCAAAGTCTCGGTTTAGGATGCTTCTGAAATATAGATAGCTGAAGTGTGGAAGCAAGGTGCTTCTGAAATCAAGGTAGTAAAGTATCCACGAAGCAGAGTAATACTCGTGTGTAAGACGTCCGGAAAATTCGAATTCACCAAATAGCAGAGGATCAAAAAGAGAGTACTAGCTGTTCGAAATAGATTTCCATTGTGAAAGATTGTGCCGAAACGTAAGACATCCACATCGCGCTCACAAACTCTGTCGGCAGTCAAGCAGTATACAGTGAACTCTGTAAGAAAGGTATTTCTGGACGAGCAACGATTCCCAAGCTACTAAACACTTGGATGTTTCCTGATTTTTTCCTGTCCCTTGTGGGTATTATCTGTGTATCCTGTGACTTGCACAAAAACGTAGCTTGTTTGTGGCGCCCGTAGCTTTGCAGCGCAGTTCTGTGTGGCCGCATTGTGCAATGCCGCCACACTTCCCTGCTATGAATCCATTCCTCTCCTTTCGGACATCTATGGCTGATCGGTAAAATAGAAAAAAAAGAACAAGGTCAGGAAAGACAATAGCCGTTCGGCGCGCTTTTGGCGGTTTTTAACGCCATTTTCATGCAAGTATTGGCGTTTCGCCTACTGTGGTATATCTCTCGGGCGCTTGTTCGTGGCCGTGGGATCCGGCTCGTACAATATTAAATTTTTAATAAGGTCATTATTTGACGCGTTTATTTTGGAAAAGAAGTCAGTAGCTAAATTTTTAAAGTGTTCTTCGAGGAGCGGTAGATTTAATATTGAGTGTAATTCTGAGACTGATATAAAGTGGCGCGCACAGTATGCTACGAAGGCACGCATTTTGTACTAAGCTTGTTTGTGATTCAGACGAAAGGTAGCGTTCCTTGTGGTTGCTAGGCGCCCTTCCGCGGATTAGGGAAAACCGATGACTATTGCCTGAGAGAGGGGATCTCAGGTAGGGGGATAATTACGCACCGAAACACGTTCGTTTTGACGCTCTAAAAATTATGGATTTGGGGAAATTCCGCATTCAGCGTGACCAGCATGAAACTAAACTTTCCTTATGTTCCAAATCCTGAAGTCATATTCTGTTGAAAAGAATACGATCAATAGGGAAAAAATGCTAATTTAACAATGTTATTTATATTGTAAAGGAAATAATTTCCACAAAAGTTTTAATAATTTTTATTAATAATTTTCAAGAGTTAACTTTCGGGAAAACACTTTTCCCATCCTCAGTGGTCTTGCCCAAGCAACGTGGATCTCCCATGAATGTTCACAACATGGTCAAAAACTATGAAAACTGCAAAGCATGCAGGTTACAGCTTGGTGGCAGCCATCTTTTGGAATACCCAAAAGATATTAATAAAAATTATTAAAACTTTTGTGGAGATTATTTCCTTTACCATATTATGGATTACCACAAGATATCTGCTAACACCACGGATCTTTTTTACTGATACGTTATAGCTTGTTATTGCCATGGATGCGGAGCTCGATACACTGTATACGTTTCCTGGTTCGAAAGGATCGTGGTTACGAGGGAAATATGAAAACAGTTAAGTTCTCTTAACATGTGAACACTTCTCTTATGGAGGGAATTATGAGAGGGAAATATGAAGACAAACCGAGTCAAGTGAACATAGTACAGAAAATTAGCAAAGAAGTAAATCTGAATCAATAAAATTAGGTAAAAAATAAAATAATGTATTTATCACGGACGTTAACTGGTTCTGAATATGGAGCGGTGACAAAATGACGGCTTTTTGTCGCCTGAGATCAGTAGAACCCTTATAACGTCCTTGGTGCATAAATAACGGAAAATGCATATTGACGGTCTCTAAAGTTGTGTGTGAAGATCAGCTAAATTGTGGGTTATTTAAAAAAATACATTGCATGTCTTGTGTAAAGAACTGAAGAAAATGAGTCTGGAGTAATTAGGCCTTGGGTTTCTTAATAGGAGCGTGTGTCGGGATGCAGCAATGATGTGATGGGTTGTAAGCTCACTATAACTATGGGTGCCAATTTATAACTATATGAGTAAATGAACTTATTTTGCAGATGGGAGATTGTTTTTCTTTATACGTTTGTTGTGCTGATGCGAAGCTATGAATGAGTGATGTGTATCAGTCTCATTTAACTTCGTCAAGCTACATTAGGAAATAAACGTTTTGTAGACATGTTTTTTTCTTAATTCAGTATTGTTTCAGATGTTCATGCAAGGTGATGATGTGGTGAGGTGCTGCATGCTCGCACAACCTCATAATAATGTGTTAGTAAATAAATGTTTTGTAGATCAGATAGGTATTGGTTTTACCTCGTACAATATGTTGCCTTTTGCAGTGATGCAAAGCGATCATTGCGGCGATGTGTTGAGGGCTCGAAATGCTCTGTTAGTAAATAAAATTTGATATTGTAAACTAGATAAATTGTCTGTTTCTGGTGCTGATATGCTGCAGGCTCGCTCACTTTCCTAATTCTGTTTTAGTGAATAAAATTTATTATTTTAAAGTAGATATGTTGTATGTTTCTGGTGGTGATGTGTTGCAAACTCTCTCAACCTCATAATGGAATTGTAGGCTGGATGTTCTTGTGGTGGTGTGATGGGGTCTCGCAGGCTCCCTTACACTTATAATGCTGTATAAGTGAATACAATTGGGTATTGGAGGGTAGATGTGTTGTATATTCTGTTGGTGACTTGATGTGTTGCAGGCTTGCTCACCCTCATAATGCTGTACTAGTAAATAGTATTGCATGGTCTGCTGGTGATGTGTTGCAGGCTCACTCAACATCATAATGCTATATTGTATATGGCGTTGTAGATAAGATATTAAGTGAATACTCCTAGTGGTGACGTGGCGATGTGTCGCAGGCTAGCTCACTCTCATAATTCTGTATTAGTAAATAGCATTGCATGTTCTGATGGCGACGTGGTGATGTGTTGCAGGCTTACCTACACTCATACTGCTGTATTATTGTCTGTTTTGGTGGTGACGTGGTGATGTGGTGCAGGCTCGCTCAACTTCATAATACTCTATTGTATATGGCGTTGTAGACTAGATATTAAGTGAATACTCCTAGTGGTGATGTGATGGGGTGTCGTAGGCATGCTCACCCTCATAATTCTGTATTAGTAAATAGTGTGGTATGTTGTGGTGGTGACGCGGTGATGTGTTGCAGGCTCGCTCAACTTCATGCCGCGCACGCTGCGTCTGCTGCGCGACGGCGGCGCGGAGTTCCGGCGCGCGTACGTCACCACGCCCATGTGCTGCCCGTCGCGGTCGTCGCTGCTCACCGGCATGTACGTGCACAACCACCACGTGTTCACCAACAACGAGAACTGCTCGTCGGCCGCGTGGCAGGCGCACCACGAGACGCGCTCCTTCGCCACGTACCTCAGCAACGCCGGCTACGCCGGTCTACGGCGCCTGCCCGGCACGCGACAGCGCCAGTGCGACACCCCCCGCCGCCCCAAACCGGGGGGGGGGCCAGGGTTGGGGGGCCCCGCCCGCCGCCCCGCCGGGCCCCGCACAGCGCCCGAAGGCCATTTGTGGTCGACCTCTCGGGGCCTCTTTTTTTTTTCCCTTTCTGTTTCTTCTTCTTCTTTCTTCTTCTTTCTTCTTCTTTCTTCTTCTTTCTTCTTCTTCTTCTTCTTCTTCTTCACCATCAAGGATTAGCTCTAAAGGCCTTTTCCATCTACTTTAACGTTGATATCATCAATCCACACAGTTGTTGGTTTTTTTCTCTTTTCTCTTTTCTTTTTTCTTTTTCTTTTTTCTCTTTCTTTTTTTCTTTTTCTTGTTTCTTTTTCTTTTTTCTTATTCTCTTTTTTCTTAACCAGTTTAATTTTTCTTCTTTTTTGTTTTTATTTTTTCTGTATCTTTTACATTTGTCATTTTCTTTTTTCTTTTCTTCTTTTGTTCATTGATTAATTTGTGATTCCGGGTGTGCCAACTGCTAAGGTGATTAGTTCCGTAAATGTAGTGCATGTTTTCTCACTGTCGGGGAGGTGGCGGTGTTCTTTGTGTCGGTGAGATCCGACGCAGACCTATTGCCGGCTAGAAGGGTTTTCCGTAACCAGATATCTCACCAGCGGGGCACCGCCCTAGTCGGGGCAAGATCTAAGCTCCCGTACGGTCTTACAGGTTTCACTTTTGGTAACACAATTTCAGTGGTATCCAGCTCCATCGTTAATTCAATTTTTAATGTTATTGTTATTCTCGGAATGTTCTCCATAACATTAGCGACAAGTTTGACTAATAATTGAAATTCTTGCATCTATACTAATGAATTTGAATTCAACGACATGAAACCGACATCGATACCACAAAAAGAAATGGATGAATAGATAGCATTGCTCGTATGTTTTTACTTCAAAAACATGTCGGCCACTAGTTCGGCGAGCATTCACCAAGAGCGCTGAAACTATAGGGACAGCCACTCAATGTAGAAATTCTAGCTCGTTGGAATTCACCGAGATTCTTACAGCCTAGAGGTTCCACTAGCGCAGCCGCCTGCACCCCATGGACCCGTAGCGGCTTCTAGATCTGCTGTAAAGGTGGGAAGTATAGATGGCCCGCGCGTCGTGGTACATTCTAAACTCTTTGACAGCGCTTTCCTCCCCCGTCCGCACGCAGACACCAACCCCTTACGATCACCCCACCTACTTGTACCCAGGGTGAGGAAGGCGGTTTGGCAAGCTCCGGCCTGCCACTGCACGGAAGCTAATTGTTTGGGAGACAGCGGCATAAAATTTGTAGTGATTTAAGGGCGGCTAATATATTGTTTGTTTTTTAAATTTATTTTTAATTCCAATTAAGGTGAACAAGTCAGTCACCCTACCTACGGGAGTAACCCTTATGAAAAAAAGACAGAGATGAACATGTGAGAATTATTACTGTACTCATATACCACACCTTGATACAAAATTTAAGTGTACGCGTTAGTAACGTTTGCGAATATTTCGATCAGAAGGGTGAGAAAACACATTCAGATGAATTACACTTCCTTTAAAGCTTATAAGTTTTCCTACTGTGTACTATTTAGTTCATTTGAATAGCGCCATTACAGTGCGGGTAATTACACATCAACATTGTTACTGAAAGTTTGCCGGGAGTATGCAACAATGCATTAATGAATTTGTTTACAATTAATTCTAGTAACGATTGTTGCAGTGTTCGTGCGTGAAAATGTAGCTGGTCATGGTGATGCGATACGGGTTATTCTTGGATGTAGTCTGCTGACTATAGTTTGGACTTAATTGGCTTTAAAACCAACTAAAAACCATTAAATTAGCCGTCCTTTAATCACCCAAATTTTGTGTCGCTGCCTGCCGGACTATAACATCCACGCCCGTGTTGGAATTCGAACCCACGGCCCTTCGAGTCGATACTTTCGAGGCGCGTCCGTTGGCGATCGCAGCTTCCCAGGCCGGCGATAATCGTGATTATTAAATGGCATTTATGATGCTGACCATGTACATAAAACAGCAATCAGAATAGTAGTTTATGCAGTTAGTTTATAATGCTAAGCTTTATTGCACGAGAACATGTTTTGAAAACAAGCGACGTTAGGAACAAGTTTTCAAAATTGTACGAATGCAATGAAGCAACGTTATAAACCAGTTGCATACGCTATTTTTGTATAAGAGCATTATAAATTCATAAGAGAATCAAATTTAATTTAATTAAACATTCTTGTGCCGTTTCTGGTATTTCATATCTCTGCAAGAAAACTGAGGTCGAATGTTCCGTTCACCGCTACCTCCTGACGATTCTCTCGCAGCGATTGCCTGAATGTGTGTTGACGCAACAATTAGTGCCGTAAAATCTGATACGTCATCATTTATGCCGAAAAATGCCAGATTATGAACGATTTCTTGCAACAGAAAAAGGTCGTGTATAATGCTGGTATACAAAAAATAAAATAAATGAATTTTATCTCATAATGCCTAACTCAGAAGTGCAGCCGTTGCAGTGTGTTTTCCGTTACAGCCTTCTGCTCTTTCAGTCTGGTAAACACATTATTGTATTCTCATTGAAATATTATTAAAATATGGGCAACATTTATTTTTTGTGCATGTTTAATGACACCAGTTTTCAGTATAAGATAATATGCACTGTAATGAAAATATTGGCTATCGACCGTCAGTTAAAAATGGCACGTCCATATTTATTGAACGGTATGGCTCGTTGATTAGTCACCATGTGTGAACGTCGTGCATCACTTAACCTTCACTTCTGCACCTCTATGAATAGTGCGAAAGGCGATTTCATCTCCACAAGGTATGCCCGGTTTGATTTGTGAGCCTAGCGCTTTTCTGATCACCGAAACGTGACGAAGGCAACATCTTGCAAATCACCTGCCACGCGTGCGACCTTGGGTGATTTGTCAGAGCTCCAGTTCAGTGTGAAGGCACTCACCTTGACTGACGGGTTTGGCGAGGCGGCGCGGCGAGCCGCGAAAATATCCTCTCGGCCGTTGAAGTCTCCACATGTCCCAGGCGGCGACCGCGCTGCAACTGGTTTTATTAGAGCAGTGACTCCCAGATGGCTGCTGCTGTTGCTGCCGGGCTTGTGCGCAGGTGGGCAGGAATGTGGGTGGCCTGGCGATTGGTGATGGCAGCTCTGAAGGGCTTGTGCCTGGGTGTGTGGGATTTGGAGAGCTGGAGGACTGTGGGTGGTCTGGCCATTGGCAATGACTGCTTTGTAGGCTTGTGCCTGGGCGTGGGGGATTTGAAGAGCTGAATGCAGGAATGTAGGAGGTCTGGCGATTGGCAATGACTGTTCTGCAGGGCTTGTGCCTGGACGTAGGGGATTTGAAGATCTGAGGGCAGGAAATTGGGTGGCGTGGCGATTAGCGATGACTGCTCTGTAGGCTTGTGCCTGGGCGAGAAATTTGAAGATCTGATGGCAGGACGGTGACCGGGCGATTGGAGCTGACTGCATTTGCCTGGACGAGGGGTATTTGAAGAGCTGAAGGCAGGAATGTGGGTGGCCTGGAGATTGGCGATGACTGCTCTTTAGGGCTTGTGCCTCGGCAAAGGAGATTTGAAGAGCTGAGGAGATGAGCGTTGTAATGTGCTCTAGCCGCCTTTGATTCTGCAGCGCACGGGCGCTCGCCCAAGAAGAGGGAAACTGCATTTACGCCGGGTCCGTAGCCCAAAGCGTTCCATAGTTTTTATCATAATTTGAACATTTATTTAATTCATTAATTTTGATCGTACCTTTTCTAATGTTCGTTTGCAAGTTAATATTCTCGAAATTGGGCGCAGGCTACCATGTTTTATGTCACGTTCTGAGACACTACAAAACCGAAAAAGCCGTTGTGAATAATCGAGCTCGGAAGGATACAAGAAAGACGATCTCTCCTGAATAATATACTCGTAATATAATGTAATGCAATGTAATAAAATATTAATAATAATAAAATAATATACAATATATTATTATAATATAATAATATATTGTATATTATAATAATATATATTAAGTTCAGTTTGCGATTTTTTTTTTTTTTTTTGCAAAATAATAACTCCGTTTGACAATTGTTTTTCTCGCCAGAGAAATATCTCTACTTATTGGTGCAAACAATTGTCCCAATTTCAGAATGGCACTTTTTGTCTTTTTTAAAACAATTCTCTACGTACTATCACAGGTTCCGTAAATTTCTTTCAGGAAGTCTAGCAGCGTTTTTCTGTATTTAAATAACAAAAAACCTATTTATAAATATTAAATATTCTACATACGTTGACGTAGCTCTATCTTCAAAACCTAAACAATTTCTCAGTTTCCTTTTTTTAAAATGAATTGTTAGATCCTTCTCATTTTTTGGCTAAGTAGTTATTTACACGAGCGTATCGTTTGAATTGATGCAAAAGAGATGCAAACCCACTTTCCTAACTCTGCAATGTGACATTTTGAGCATTTATCTAATAGAATGTATGGTCAAAACCCCCTTTTAACTTTTTTGGTTTCGTGTTTTCGGGCGTCTCAACGGCTGCTGTCATTAATCTTTCAGTGTAGTTCACGTTATATGTCGGAAGATGGCCGTGTTCCTCCCCTTATAGAACATGAAATCCGTTGCCGATCTTCACGTCAGCTTGCAGGGTTTTCCCCTTCAAGTATCTTTCCTCTTCAAGGGTCACAGCCACAAGCCGGAAAATGCTCTAAGCTTCCGACTGGTGTGGTGGTATACTGCATGTAAGTGGTGTGTGTGCGTGAATGTGTGTTGTAAAGGGAGAGGAATGGAAGAGAACGAGAAAGGGAAGACCGGCACGTGGATCGTTTGCCCGTGACCCGGCATTCGTCTAGTGTTGATCGAAGAAACCACGGAAAACTACCGTTCAGAGCAAACGGTAGCTTGAACGCCACCATAGAGACGTCCCTACGA